TTTCTTCTAACTATTTTCTACTTAGTCTCTGTGTCTCGTTCTCTGTGCTGTTTTCTTCTAACTATTGGTTACTTAGTCTCTGTGTCTGGTTCTCTCTGCTGGTTTCTTTCTAACTATTGGTCACTTGGTCTCTGTGTCTGGTTCTCTCTGCTGGTTTCTTTCTAACTATTGGTCACTTGGTCTCTGTGTCTGGTTCTCTTTAGTCTCTGTGTCTGGTTCTCTGTGCTGGGTTCTTCTAACTGTTGGTCACTTAGTCTCTGTGTCTAGTTCCTTCTGACCGTCTACTTGCCATTCGTGCAGGGATGATCACGGTATTGGGGCCGGAAACTGCGGGTGAGGTGGTAATGCAGCAGCCACAGTTGGCAGTAGAAGACTTGAAAGCTCGCAAGCAAGCGAAGGAGAAGAAGAGACGGAGGGCAAGTGGAGGGGATGTCGAGATGACAGCTGGCCAAGGTAGGATGCTCTCCCATCCACACTTGTTCGTCTGCTTCACAGCAATCTTCCCTGACTTTCATGTTACGCAGATTCCCCAGTTCCTTACCAGTCTGTGTGCTACTTCCACTTTGAATAATTGCTGCTCTAGCTTCACCACAGGTACGTTTGATATGCGTGAATTCTTCAGGAGCCCACGGTCCACGGTTTGATATGCGCGAATTCTTCAGGAGCCCACGGTCCACGGTTGTTCAAAGGCGCAAGGAGGGTCAGCTCTCAACACTGGTTTTCTTCACCAGGACTGGTGACTGCCTTCTTCCCCCGAATACAACGTACGGTCATTATAGCTGTATTTAGACTGAAAGATACCCCAAATTCAGCTATAAGGACTGTACATTGTATTCGGGGGAAGACTGTAGCATTGTAAGGAGGAAGTGTGAAACAGAAGTGAGAGAGGAAAGACAGGGGGGGATCCATTTGAGATATACGATGACAGAAAAGGATATGGACAGGCATGTGGAGGATACAGGTAATATGTATGTCTTGTTTTTTTTAATGATATGGATGTCTGACGCCGTTATGCCAAAAAAATGTGAAATAAGACGAACGATCCCTACCCTCTGCCCCCAACTACCGCGAGGCCTGACCCCCCTTCTTCCATTGGCCTGCAGAAAAAAAACACACAATGGCTTCTATGTTGCCTTCCTCCTTTATTTTCTTCTTTACCGATGAAGGGTAGTTTGAGTGAGCATGCAGTAGTCGGTGTTTTTCATCAACAAAAGGTCTCTCTTCTGTCCCTTCAAATCTTGTTCAGCCATGTGATCTCACTGCCCGGTAGAAATCAAATAGACTGGAGGATGGTGCAGTGTGTCGTCTCCCCGCTCACCATGCTACTGTGTTGCTATGGTGTACAAGGCCGGCCCCAATCATGTGACTACGAAAGCATAGCAACAAAGAGCTGCTAATGCTGCAGTCCTTCGGGACATCCGTTAAAATTGGAATGATACAGAGAAAGAAGATTAACATGGCCCCTGCACAGGGATGACACGCATAAATCGAGAAAAAAAAAAAAAAAAAGATGCTAATGCTGCAGCTTCTCTGATATTTTCCATACCCTTGCCAAGCATGCTGGATTACAGATCCATGCTGTTGAAGACACGTTGTTTCCCACCGTATTTTTCCTCTTGCTTTCACTCTTTTTTTCAACTGCATGTAGGCTAGACACACCGTACATGGCTCATGTGAAGAAGAGCATACCAGACACACCACCAATCCCCCACATGAAGAAGAGCAAACTAAGAATGCCCCTGATGCATGGCTACCATCCGGAACACTGGACAGGGATCCATACCATCAGTAATCTGGCGTCTGTGTCCGGATCTCGGTCCGGATGTGAGAGCCCCAGCCCAACGGCCAATTTTTTTTGGGAAAGTCTGTGTTTTGACGGGTCATTACAGCATTATCTCCTCCGTGGGAAGGGTGAGGGCAAGAAGTTTTCGTTTGAAGCTCTCTACTTTGAGCTGTTTATGTTAGTCCTCACTATTTAATCTAGCAAGGATAAGCAAGTGAATGTGAAACATAACAAGGGGAGAGAAAGAAATAAAAAACTGAGAAAGCCGCTGATTGGAGTGATTCTCAGCCACTGAATTACGGCACTGAACCAATTACAACCTATCTTCGCCACACACCTGCTGATGGGCTGACGGCTATCGCTTGCTGATGGGCTTACAGGGTTTTGGTGCAGCTGTGTGGTAAAAATCCAGGTGCCCTGCTTAGTAAAAAAATAAAAATAAAATTCCAGTGCCCTTAGTAAAAGAACAAACAAATACCGCCGAAGATAGAACAAAGCAAATAAGTTGGATTAATAACTATGCAATCAGACTCGCTTCTTTTCACAACTCACATGCATGTAAACAGGTAGCGCAGCAAACTGGCGACAAGCGCCCACTCAGAACTCAGAGATATGGTAACCAAGAACGCAGTTCAGATACAAGCTCACTTCAAACAGCTATGGCGCAACAGCGCCTGTACAACTCTCTGTTCGTCGCCAACCCAACTCTGCTGTTCACACACGCAGGATCACCCTGGATATCCCACACGCGTCACACTGTACACTCACGCACACACACACGCTACACTCCTCTATCAGCTACGGCGGCTATGGCCGCTACCCCTATCGCTAAGGCTGTGCTCTCCTTCTCGCCCACTTCGTCTTCGGGCTCACTGCAGACCACCTCGCACAAGTCGCTGTGGCAGCGCTTCCGCATGGCTTACGCAGGAATGAATGAATGGCTGGGCGCTGCCTCTTGATTTATACTTCTGTAGCTCGTTGGTCTGCCCCTTTCCCATGCCTGTGGTGCACACAGTCCCATACGGTACTTGCTGACTGGACCAGGACTGACTGGGACTGGGTACCACTGACTCAGCACAGGTGGACTCCAACACTTGCCCACTTGCCTTGGTCTACTGTGGGTAGTACCCGAAAGGCCACTTCCGGACCTTCCGGAAGACCGTGGACTTGGCCTTTCGGTACTGTAGCAGCTACGACCTTGACCCTTCAGGACTGTAGAAGCTACGACCTTGACTCTTCGAAGGAGCTACAGCTACGACTTCTAGAACTCGCTAAGACTCCTATTCGACAGGTCTACAGGTCGAACCCCTATCAACTACAGACCTACGACAACGTAGCAACTGTGGGAAAAGACAGGTCGTGGGTTCAACTCCTGGGGTCGACACAGATACTGTACACAGGTAAGGTGAAGACTAGGGATCGAGCCCTGGGGTCTGCATCGGCTACTGCGAACAGGTGAATACCGTTTCAACTAAAGGCGGAGAAAAGAAAAAGAGAACCTCTTAAACCACCAGCGCCCCCGACGTCGGGAAGTAGGGGGGGACCGGTAGACCGATATTAGTAATTCACCTTCGGCCTACCGGTAGTACAGGGTGGGTGTCACTTCGTTCTTGTTTTTTGTTTTTACTCTGCAAAACGAAAACGAAAACGAAACTGCAGGTACCACCGCATTTCGTGCCTCACTCCACTGCCCCTGACACGCATGGAAAACGGACATGATTGCGGTGTATATTTCCATGTTGTGCTGCAAGGTTCACCGCATGTCTTGTTTTTGTTTTGTTTTCCCACAAAGAGAACAAAAGAAGAACAAAAGTGCAGCACCTCTTTCAAAAAACAAGCGCCTGAATTGAAAACTGCGCGCTGACTTTTTCTCAACTTCAAATGCCTTTTTCTAAGTTTTTTTTTTCTTTCGTTTGTGGTCGCCGACCCCGCGCCGTTCACGGCTATAACTCCCCGGAAAATCGACTTTAGGCTGGGGGGGGGGAGGGGTGGTTTAAATGTAGTTATAGACCTATCTTTTTGCAACTCTTCTCAGGCTTGGCCTCCCTTGTTTTGGGGTTGGTTAGTAGGGGCCTCGTGTAGGCTTGGGAGGCTCCTGTGAAAAGGGCAGTGTGTTTCACGAGGTGATGGCGGAGTGTGATGGTCGAATAAACAAGCAGCAATGGAAAATGGTAATAATCATGGCAGTGAGAACAACGAGAAAGGGACGGAGTTTGGGATGCTATTTGAAAGCTCACGTCTTCCCCCAAATAGAACGTACTGGCATTATGCCCGTATCGTGGGCAGCTTTCGGTCTAGATATGGTGACTGTACGTTCCATTTTGGGGGAAGACGGTATGGTGTGGTCTGTGATTCCATGCAATGGGATGCTTCTGCAGTCTTCTCTCCCTTCTCCCTGTCCATCCTTTCTTGAACAGGAGGAAGTATTGTCTGTCAAAGTATGGGTGTCATAGTTGTTTCGCAGGAACCTGCGCCAAATATAGCTCACGAACCAGGGTTGCCGACCGAAAGTGGCTCAAGCGAGCTGAGTACTCATGGTTCTAACCATGCTGGCCTGGGGCGAAGTCTGCATCAACGGGCTTTATAAAAAAAAAAAAAAAAAAAAAAAAAAAAACGTCTGCATCAACGGGCTTCACTTTATCCCAGCTTACTTTGCATAGTGGCCAAGTGTATGCCTGCCTTGTGTGCGGGAGGTTGCAGGTTCGATTCCTGGGGGAGAGATTTGCGCTTTGGAGCTTGGAAAGAGAAAAAACTGGGAGTAGTTGTTGACTGCTGCAACGTCTACCGAAAGCAACCGCCGCCGCAGGTTGCGGGAAAAAAAAGGCTTCTCTCTATTATCTAGTCGAGCAAAAACTCGTACAGTGATTAGGCCGTCGAAAGTAGCTTCTGTTTATCAAAGTGCTACTTTGATCGCACAAGAAATTTGCGACAAATTGGAACGAAAAAAAAATAATTTTATAAAATCTGTGAAAATTGCATCTGTAGATTCTGTACCCCATTTAAAGATGGGAGAATACCCGGTATACCGAGTCCAGCACCCACCTTGCATCTATACGCAGACCCTGTCTGTCCAACTTTAATGTAATACTGTACTTTTTTTATTTGAACCCCATGCGCCAACTCGTACGCATCCCACAGGCTCTTGGGTGGGGGACGGCAAAATTATGCTTACGCCCAGCAACTGGGCAGGCAGAATTGGGTATGCAGTACTATGCACATAATTTGCCCCGGGCATGAGCATAATTTGAGCATTCCGATAGTTGGGTATAACTGCAATTTGGCTGTACCAACCTTGGCCCACCGCCATCCTGGGCATGCAAATAATTTGCAAAAACCATCTCCCGGGTACAGTTGCAAGTTGGGCACTGGGACTGGGTATATCGGGTACTCCCATCTTTAAATGGGGTAGATATGCAATTTTGAATTTACCCAGAAAACTACTATCTTGCTTGCTTGTTTGATGTGTAACCTATATTCAAGAATGAACCAGCTTTGGAAATTTCCCGATCGGTATATTGCATGGTTGACGATTGTGGATTTGTTTGCTGCCTTTGCTGTGTGATGTAGCAAAAGTTGAGGATGATGACACCGTTCAGCCGGAAGCTGGAGATGTAATGAATGTAGATAATGGGGAGCAGACACTTGAGGAAATGCTTGCCTCGATGGGTTTGGACGTAAGTGGACAAGTACGCGACACCCAGAAGGGGCAGCTTGCAGAGAATATTAAGGCAGAGTCTCTCCAGGTAAATGCACTTTCAGCCTGCACAGCATTTCAGAACAAGGGTTTCAAGTTTTAACACCCAGCCCATATGACTGAATGGTAAACACCTGTAGCTGTTGAGAAACAGGTCATGAGTTTGCGTCCTGACGGAATCAGATGCATGCATCAAGGTTAGGGGCGACTGTGAGTACTCTCCTTGAAAACGCAAAGCCAAGAAACAAACAGGGTTTCCAGCTGTGGTTTCAGATCCGCCTTTGCCAAGTGTTCTTATTTCAAATGCAATGGGGAATGTCGAATTGTGCTCGAATTTGAGCGGATTTTGAGCTGTAAACGGTGTAATCAACAGACTTGGGGTTAGCAGACATTTTTTGACAGAGAAAGGAAGTCGGATGTGGAAGCACCATAGTTGCGGCGCACCTCGGTGCGCGGATTTGTGCACGCACTGCACCGCTTAGCGCACTGAGGCGCACCGCACCAGAAAAATTAAGGTCGGGGAAAAAACGAAGTAGGGGTTTTGTAATTTCTTAGTCCCCCCCCCCACCTTCCCTCCAGCAAAAATGATCAATTCGCCACGCAAGTTCGGAAACCGGCCGCGCCCCAGGCCCGAAAATTGTTTTTTGGGGGCAAGGGCTGCCGAATTTCAACTCCCGCAGGCCCCTCGCCCAAACAAATCAAAACGTGGATCTTGAAAATAGGGCTCATTCCAGTTTTTTTTGTTTTTTTTTAGGTGGGGTGTGGAAACTGCCCTTCCCTCTCCCTTCTGCAAATCCGACACAGCGGTGGAAGAAATTCGCGAGAAGGGTGTAATTGCCCGATAGCAACCTGCCCCACAGTGCTTCGCTGAAGTCACGAGATGTGTGTTTGACAAGGCCAGCCGACCACGAATATATGCTGAAGATTGGCATTCAGGTCTGCATGTCGGCAGTTATGGGTTAAGATGAAGAGATGCCTGTAGCTCTCTCCAGTTTTTTTTTTTTTTTTTTAGGCGGGGTGAAGACATGTCATATGGTGGTGTATGGTACCATGTTTTAGCAGAAGATCCATTCTAATGTTATACATTTGGTGAGTGGTGGAGAGAGGCCCTGAGAATTATGTGGTGTAGCTGAATTGGTGACCCATAACTGCCGAGCTACAGACCTGAACTCGAACCCTCAGCATATATTGGTGGTCTGCTCTCAACTCTTCCACATATGATGCGGCCTGCTCGTTGAAGCATTGGTCCTCAATTGACTCCACAATGTTCACATACATTGTCGGAGCCATTTGAGTTACCTGCAGGGGCCCTTGAATTGACGTAAACGGGGCCCTTTGGTCTCTCTCTCTCTCTCTCTCTCTCTCTCTCTCTCTCTCTCTCTCTCTCTCTCTCTCTCTCTCTCTCTCTCTCTCTCTCT